GTTAAAATACACTTAGAAAATGTTTCCTTAAACTAAAACCAGTCTAAGGCTAAAAGGTTCTGCTTGCTGACACGGCACACAGAAAGTAATCCCCTACCTGCCATTTATAATGACATGAGTTTGTCCTGCCTGCAGTATAACACTAAAGTGATGCATGCAGAGACAGATCTCAGATCTGCATTGGTATGTGAGGGGGAAAGTGAAGTTCCTTGGCTGTTCAAGCCCTCCCAGTTCTCACTTCCATCTGCAGTAGTTGTAAACTATTCAGCCTTCAGCCATTCTAGCCACGTCAGACCAGATGGTCAAATCACATGGAGGCATTTTCTGGAATTCAAATGGTTTCACATTTATCTTTGTTTTTTATGCTGTAATCATATAGATTTACCACTGAAGTGCTCTCTGGTGGAAGCTTGTGTAGCCTATTGGCTTGATAGATGGGTTGCGACTCTTTAAGGCTCAAGTGAATTTTTAAAAAACGTTTTTATGTTGCTGAGTGAAGGCAGAGCTTTTTTTGATGTTAGTCATTTATGCATGCTGGGGTAACTCGCATCCAGATGTTTGCAAGGTATGTAGGGATTAGCAACCAAATGTAAAACATACCTGGAGGAGTTCTCTTGATCATTTCAGAGTTTTAAAAGGAGTTTTTTCTTCTCGTTAATGGTAAGCTCATTTAGTTTGGTTTTTAACGAGTCATTAGTGCTGTGTGAGGTCTTGGCAAGTGTGCTGTACTGACTAAAGATTTAGTCTGATTAGATGCTGATTGCATTTGCTTATGTGAATGTTATTCATTAAACTATTTTGTTGATAAATTAGCACAATACTTGACCTGAATTTGCAAACTAAAGTAGAACAATACCCCTTAAAATTAATTTGTAACAGAGTGATTTTTAGATGAATTTTTGTGTGTTTATAGAAAAATACCTTAGCACTATTTTAGCCCAGAAAAGATATCCATTAATTTATAAGTGTAGGTACAATATTACATTCCTCAGTTCTTAACACCATTGCTGTGTGTTTTCTACTGCTTGCTGGAAAACTCCATGGTCATGCCAAACAGGATTAGGCATGATTATGATGGATGAATGAATGGATAACCCCCTTTTTCTAGAGAAGCGTAGATCTGAATCCTATGGCCAACTTCCAGTCTTTAAATTTCTAAAGCTTTTACTTTATGACATTGATTTTCAAATGATTCTGGTTTCTGTAATTAATCCTTTCAAATATTTGTTTGGCTATTCCACTGTAAGCAAACGGTAATTAAATTAAAGGCGGCGGACTCTGAAATTAAATTAAAAATGTTGAAAGGCTGCCAATATTTCCAACTTCTGTAATTATTCTTGATGGACAGGTTTTCCTTGCTTCCTGAAAGTTTGTTGTTGTTTGAACTGTTTTGTATTTTCACTCTTTTTTTTTTCTTTTTTTTTGGCTATTGCAGTAAAATATGAAATATATTTATCATTTTTAGGAAGAAGCCAAAAAAAATTTATGAAAATCCTGACGGAAGTAGCTTGAGAGTTAAAAGATCTGTAGTAATTACTTTGCTGAAATGTATTTCAAACTTATTTGAAATACATTTATGAAATGTATGAACTACATATTTTTTTCTAATATTAATTTAGAAAAACATAAAGCTTTAGTGCAGTTAAAGAATTTGGTTCCTGTATGTTTGTTTTTGGCTTTTTGTCAAATGTTTCATATGATTACATACATCATACAATATATGACAGTCTGAATAAAAAATTATGAAAAAATTTACAAAATGAAACATTTTAAATAATTTCATTAATTAAAGAAGACGGGCTCTAACCCACCTTTGACCCTGTAACAAAAAAGCAAATTTAGATGATGGATGGATTGATGGATGGATGGAAAGAATCTATCCAAGTCAACTTGGCTCAAAATGAAAACATAATTATCCCCTTATTCTAAAAACTAGATGTTCCACCCTTGGCAACTACAACTGCTATAATTTGTGATAATTGGCAACAAGTCTTTTACATAACAGTGGGGAAATTTTGGCCCACTTTTATTTGAAGCTACATTGGAAGTTTTCTTCTTTTTTTTTTTTTTACCATGAAAAGTCTATGACTTGGCAGTTTTTGAAATGGTCCAGCCAGCCATTTAGGTAGTATTCCTAATGTGCTTTGGCTCAATGCTCTGCTTCATAAAGTAAGTGTACCAGAGTCGCAAACTTTGGTTTTCTTGCAGAGAGCATAATTCATAATCGACAAGTCCGCCAGGTGCTGAAAATTATTCCACTAAACTCTTCAATCATGAGCATTTTGATATTTTGGAGAGTTGGTTCAGACAACTTTCTCATTGATGAATCATGAACACCGACATTAACTGAAGCAGTAATATTTAAAATCTACAGGCCAGGAAATAATTGGGCTTGAATGTGGCCAGTGAAACTGAACCAAAAATGTTTGTTGTTCATGATTTTGCAATTCATACCTTATTTTTCCATGTTTGTTTGGAAAGTTTCTTTTCCTCAATAAAACAAAAATTACATTCCATTTTCAAAATTTGTTTGATAATTGAAAAACAGACGACATCTTCAGGGGACAAATACTTGTTTTGACAACTCTGTAGACGGAGATGAGCAATTTAAAGAGAAAATAACAAGTTACTAACATCAAAGTGAGCAGTTGTAAAATCATCTTTAGAACAAGACAATTTTAAAATCACAGGGTTTTTTTTTTCTTTTTTAATCATCCAATGTTTAAACTTTTAAATTACTGCATGATATGACTAGTTTAACCCAGCAAGTTTCTATTTGACAACTTAAAAACTGTTTGATGTTTTGCTCTCTCTGGCCTCGGGGAGAAGGCTGTAAAACTGTTTGCAGGGAAGTGATTGAGGCCAGCAAGAGTTCAAGACCTCTGCAAACTTCAAGTTTTGTTTAGAACCTCAACATTAGATATCTAAAGATCTGTCAAAGACTGTATCCGAATTGAAGGAAAGCAATCTTGAATAGGACTTTGCATGATAATTGTAACATATTTACAAATGTTTTATCTTGGAGGGTCCTTAATTACTTTGTCACTCCCTGTTCATCTTGTGTGCTTTCAGAGAGGAGCATGGAGGCGTTGTAATTGACTGTGAAGTGGAGTTTGGGAAGAGCTGGGAAGGAGAAGCAGGTGACTGAAGGAGGAAACGAGAAGACGAGCATGGCGCACTCATCTGTTTGGATCTTTCTGTTGTGCTTTTCGCTCACTCATCAAAGGGCTGCAGCCCAAGCTGAAGGTATGGGATGACATTAAATACCTGATCGGAACACCAAGACACAGTTTACTGCATCATCTTGTGTGCTTTCAGATGGGAGCATGGGGGCGTTGTAATTGACGCCTCCATGTGTCAATTACATTTTGAAGAGTTCAAAGCGTTTTCCGGAAACTTGTATTTTAAATTACACCTTTTTATGTTCTTAGGCTATAACTATATTATACCAAATTATTTGGTAATTGGACACATGACTGTTTTGTGGATTTTTCGGTAAGATGGATGTGTCGGGTACTCGAGCCAACGAATGCTATTCTTTTCAATGAGCAGAGCGTGTGAGTGCCCTTTCATTACATCTCCTCCCGTGATTGGTTCAAGGTGTAGACACTAAACCAGCTGCAGTTTCTTTCCAGACTAAACATCTGCTAGAATCCTGTGCAGTATGCATCTTCTTTCTGCAGGCTTGTCAAATACATCCTCTAGATACAGAAAGTTGGCCTCAAGTGCTATTTGATGTCATTAAAAGGTCATTTAGCAAATCGCAAGTTTGGTAATATGATTTGCAGAAAGTGTTGAGGAATGCACGACGTATCGGCAAAAACATCGGTATCAGCCAAAGTTAGTCATTTATTAACATTCCGTGTTGGTTCAATAAATACAGCTGGGCTGATATCAACAGCTTATATTTATTTCCATCTTGTTGCTATTTGTTTCTGGAGAGGTAGGGCAGAAGGTTGGTCACGTGGTATTTGTTTGGTCACGTGATTGTGACGCAGTGCAAGGTTGTTGGTAGTGTGACTGAAGCAGAAAAGCAGCGGTAAATTCAGTGGAGTGCTTGTTTTTATCAAGGTGTTGAAGGATAGAGAAATAGTTAGAATATAAACAATATCAGTAAATGTATATCTCCTGAACAGAGCTCCTTCTTCCACTTGAAGAACTCCGCTTCTTAACCCATTTGCCATTTATCCATTTGCAATATATCAATTACATATAATTGATATAACTATATATCAATTTTGATTTCTAATTGATATAATTGGATATCAATTATATAATGCAATTGACCTGGCACAAATGTATGTTTCAGTTTGAGCCAAAAGGTTTGAGTCTTTTTCATTCCTCTTGTTTCACCTGACTGCAAAGTTTCACCAGTCAATTTGAGAAATTTAATTACAATCTCAGCCTCACACAGACAAGAAGTATCACTATTGCGCACCTTCCTTAAAATGTGTTTTAGCATGGTAGGAAAAAATGCTTGGCTCAAAAGTTGAACATCAAGAATAACAATGGTGGAGGACAAGTAAACACTAAAATGCCATAGTCTGATTCTTAACTATAAGCTTTAAATGTTACTTTTTTACTACAGTTACAGATCTCTGCGCGATTCCCCAGATTTTTCTCATTTCTTTAAAGTACATTTCTTAAACATCACATTTTCCTCTGGACTTTAAAGTGGTCTTGATTAATATTTCTTAAGGATTTGAAGAAATATCCTGAATTTCTCATGCAAACTGGAAACCTAGACATCTGTCAAGTCTTATAATGTCTGTGGTCAATTTCTTAGACATGCCAGACATCGTTCCTCTGCTGCAGACACTGTAGGCCTTAAACATCTTTGGTTCCTGGTCTCCCTCTTTCCTCAGGATGGAAGCTCACACTGTGCAATATTGCTGTCATAGTTGAGCTAAAGAACTGAACAAGAAAAAAGAAAATGCTAAACTTTTAAATATAACTGAATAAGTGATTGTGGCCTTTCAGGCAAAGTGTTCTGGTACGCATAGTACAAATAAAAGAACTAAAGGACTTACTGTGCTGGGTCATATTAGCTGGTTAATTTGTCAGGCTACCTGCTCAACTATAGGACCATCTGGTTAACAGATCTGGAGCATATTTTCCAACTTTAACTTTAACGCAGCGTTACCTTAATATGAATGATAGGTGGCATTCTTTTAGTTCCCAAGCTGTGACTGTTGTTCACACCTAATAGCCCCCAAAAGTCAAATTGTCATTCTTCTCAGGGATAAGGATAAATCTTTTTTTTTTTCCAACAGCATTTCTGCAATACACAGAAAAGGGTACAATCTGCTTCCATACAGCTGGAGAAAACTCTGGTAGCTCACGCACATTGATTACATTCTCAGATGGGTTCAGGTTGGTCGGGATGGCTTTTCTCACTTTAATTAAAGAAAGTATCATCTGAAAGCTTCATTTTGTAGTTCCTTTGGTTATCTGTGACGGATGTTTTCACAGCTAAGTGTGACAAAAAAAATCAAAAACGGTAGAAACATGTTTGGAGGAAAGCACGTTTTCACGCCACTGCAAAAGTTGTTAGAAACGACACATGCAGGGCTGTCTTTTATTAAGAATTGTAGAAAACAGAATGGTAAATAATAACAGTGTCGCATAATAACAATAAACTGATTGTATCAAAAGTATGCGAGGAGCTTTTGAACACAGTGGCATGACACTGAAATTAGCATTAGAAAGTTATTTTCTGTGTATCCTTCTGACATTTGTGCTTTTTATTATTTAGTGCTTTCATCCTGTGGATAAAATTTTGACTGCTCTTGTGAATTCCTGTTTTTGTTTACATTAAAGCTTGTATATTTATGCCGATCTTGTCAGCTTTCAAGTTTTTAAGATATTTTCACTTTAAAAATGAAAATTGCTTCCCTTGCACTTGTTGGTGCTGCATGCAGTAGTGCATCATTAAAGGTTGTTTTATTTATTTATTTATTTTTTTCTGATGCCATAGTGTTCTGCAGTATATATGCTGAAGGCACTGAGCTACCTCTAATGCCGAAATCGATGGTGGTCCAACACAATGATGTTACAACCTTTGAAATATCCGCACAGATAACCTTCAATGAAAATCATTTGTAATCTCTCAGCTTGTGTTGTGTCCTCATCCTTGGCATGTCGATCTTGCCTGCCAGCCCAGACAGACAAACTTCTGGATAATTGATCTTGTTTTCCACCCCAGTCTGGGTTTTTCTGACAAACACAAGCCCCCAGCTGCTTCCTTGCTCGGGGCATCCGCCACGTTTTATGTGCTTCTGCAAAAAGAAAAAATCCGAGTGTAAAGTGTATCCAACTGAATAGATTAGCTGCTTATGTATGCAAAACGTGGCTGACTTGTCTGTATGAGACTCGACTCAAAGGATAAAACGGATGCGCATTGTTGTAGTTTTTGAAATTTAATCAATGGATTTTCACCCATTAGTGATAAATGTACTGTTGCTGAATATAAACCAAAGCCAGAATGTGCGCAAAGATGTTGGCTCAGCACGAGAGAAGCCACAAAAATTGGATTCTTTGTGATATTTGCTGCCTTGATGAGATGTATAGGTGTGTAAGGGAGAATATAATGTTGGATCGGCATGGTGCGGAGACATATGTCAGCCCCTGTGGATCCTGGGACAGCAGCCAAAGCAAGAAGGCGAGATAATAGAAGGGAGCAAGCTCGGTAATCAAATGGAGGACAGGAGAGAATCACTTATCACTTACAGAACAATCAGCGAAGCCTATCTTTTATTCGCCAGCCTAATCAATGCTGTCGTCACTTTGGTTTATTGCATATGTAATGCCAGAGTATTGACTCGGAGGGTGTTTGCAGACACAGCAGATTGTGTGTGTGTGTGTGTGTGTGTATGTGTGCCGGGATCCAGGCTGCTCCCCTCACATTGAAAAGCATCTAAATGTCTCCAAACTCTGCATGTTAAATGCATTTGTTAAGCAAGGCAACTGACCCTGATTTTGGGTGTGTTTACCTTATTATTCTAAGCGTCCCTTATTGCTGTACTAAACTTTTATTGCTGGAGTGCTCAGAATATTGATAGTCTCTTTGGCTCACTTGTGTCTCATTAAAAATTCATGGGGATTTGTGTGGCGGTCTGGCTGCATGTCAGAAGCAAACGAGAAGGAAAGTGCTTAACATGGTGGAACAAGACTGCCCTCTGGTGGTCAGCCTAGGAATCCATGTCTCAAGCCATTGAAACAGATTTGCTTCTTTTTTTCAAGCTAACTTGTTTCATCTGGATAGCCGAATGATAAAGCAGGCCTTGATTTATTTTTAGACAAAGTGGAATTAATTTTTAAAAGACAAATTTGCCTATTTTTCATAGACATTGCTTTGAAAAAGTAATTACACCCCCTAACCTTCTCCATAATTTGTCACAACTTGAGCCTATTTTGTTGGGATTTTTATGTCATAGACTAACATTAAATCGTGCATAATTGTGATTGGGAAGGAAAAGATCAATCTTTTTTGGTGTGCCTCTACCAATTTTGCACATTAAGACAATACATCTTTATAGCACATAAACATGGTTTGATTTAAATGGTCACCAGCTTTCGGAAAAGCAGGATTGATTCAGATGTTCAAAGCTTTGGATATTGTCTTGACCATATTACTGGTTTGCACTTTTCCACAACTTTGCTGGTCAGGTTTTTATAATTTTACCCTCTACTTGCAGTTATTTTGTGTTCGTCTATTTCATAAAAGCACAAGAAAATATTTGGAGTTCCAGCATAACACAATGTTTATCAGGTCAAGGGATGAGAAAGCTTTTGCAAGGCACTATATCTCTGTTAAATTAACCTACTTTGTTCTTTTTTTTTTTCTTTTTTTTTTTTAGCTTGCAGGACAGTGGTGCAGGCAGACATCGTGTTCCTGTTGGATGAGTCATGGAGTGTGGGTCAGACCAGCTTTTTTAGAGTTAAAGACTTCATCTCAGCCGTCATGTCCTCCTTTCAGGACAGCGCAGTGGGAGCTGAGGGGGTTCGCTTCGGAGTCACTCTCTTTGGGGATGTTCCGAGGTAGTCGAGCATGAACTTCTGACACCATGTCAAAGACTTGTTTTTTCCTCTCGGTTGAGAAGTCATCTAAACAAGTTTTTACATGCGCAGAAACCCCGTTCCTGTCTCCTGTTCCATCATTTCTACATGACCCAGTTTTGCTTCATGCCTTTGCTCTACAGGATGCTGGTTGCTTTGACAGACTACAGTTCACTTGAGGAGGTGCTCAGAACTGTTGGAAACCTCCCCTACGGTGGAGGATCGAGGAGGACGGGCAGCGCTCTCCAGTTCCTTGTAGATTCTGTGTTCAGCCCTGCCATCAGCCGAGATTTTACCCCAAAGGTACTGCAGTTCGTATGTTGAGACTAATCATGGGTAACTGCACTTGTCTGGTTTTATTTAATTGCTTGATACCTCCAACGTGCAGATGTTTGACCACGAGTTGGAGAAAGAACCCGTTCGAGATGCCAATCCATGCTGCAAATGCGTGCATGCACCGTGCCCCGCATGACAGGAAATGACTTGCCAGGAGTCTGTATTTGTACTCCACAGGACACCGTGGCATAAACAAACAAAGTGGTCTACCATTTCACACTGCCGTGAATTTGATTAAAGCGTCCCGCTGTATGCTTGAAATAAAAATCGATCGCGTGTCTGCGGCTGACAGCAGATTTTCATCTGTTCGCATTGTCTTCTGTTTGGAGAGGGGTGAAAAAAAAAAAAGGGAAATTTATAGATTTTCCAGCACAGATTCTGCATGCTCAATCAGGCTGTCAATAATGGACGACTTTCCAAATGGTTGTGAAAGTGAATCTGTAAATCCGTTGCTCATTGACAAAGATTAAACTGAGCGTCCCTCTAATAAGATAATACATCAGCACAGATTTAGTTTCATTAAGCATTATTTGCATGGTAGCTTTTCTTGAATCCATGGAATTTCAAATGCGGTCTTGTTCATATCATTCCACTTAATATTCATTCATGTCTGCAATTCTGGAATGCATCACTCCAAAAAAGGCTTTACTTTGTAACGTTGCAACAGATTTTCTGGCACTGAGAAAACTGCAAGTAATTTCAACCCAGATCCATGTTTTCCCCCTCAGTCACCAAAAAAGACGACTTAACTTTTGCCATCTTTGTAAAGCAGAACAGGTTACCCTCTTAAACACACATTTTTCAAGTGTGTGCGTAAGAAAAGAACAGAGGAGGAGGATGAATTATTAAATTCTTCAGTCTGATTCATTTGCTGAACAGCAGCTACATTCTCACACCGACCTGTCAGGCTCCTCTTCCTCACTCACACAGGAATAAAGTTGGAAAATTCAGTCTCTGTTGCAAATTCCTCTTCATCCATTTAGGTAATTTGTCTGTAATTGAGAAGTAAACCATGTCAACGCCGATGCAGGATTTGAGGAGAATAATCGATTTTCAATGGAGGCTTCTTATTTAGAAAATTTGCTCGGAGGGCAGATTTGGCGAATTAGTCATGCCAGCAAATAGGCAAAACAAAAATAAATTGAGTATACAACTTCAGGGCAGATACACAGCTAATAAATCTGGATCACACTGAAATTTTTATGCTTATTGTTGGCTTTATATTTCCCATTAGCTGTCTCTAAATGGTATTCTAAAATGACATTATTAGCATCTGAATTAGCATGAAAATGGCATAAATTTAAGGCGTGAATATTCATAAACCTGTTAATATATTGCGGCGTATCTAATTTCCTGTCTCTCTGTAACACAGATTGCTGTTTTGATCACAACCGGACGCTCGGATGACCAGGTCGACCTTGGAGCCAAGGCGGTTGCAGACAGTGGGATTACACTCTTTGCAGTAGGTGAGTGTGAAAGTAGGCATTGAGAATTCCTTCAACATCCCCACTGCAGCAACCAACTTCAGATTTTATCTGTGCTCTGCTCGTCTGTCGGGTGTGTCTTGTTGTTAGACGTTCATGTCCCATGCATTTGAATTTGTGTTTTCGGTGTGGGTATTTGTTTGAATGTGTTGCGTTTCTTATTTAGAGGGTGTACGTGTGTATTTATTCGTACTACATAAACTTAAACTCACATTTGTTAAAGTCCACTTCCTGATACTCAACTTGGCCCTACGCTTTCTTGCTCTCATCCTTAACTTTTTATTTTTTTTCGTCCTGCCCGCTGCCATAACCAAAGAAACTTAATTCTGAGGCGACAGAATTAAGGTGCGGTAATTACTGCTCATTAGCGGATGGTGCGCTAATAGCAGCTATTTTTCATCAGGAGATTCGGTGTGCTTCATCTGCACCTCTGACACAAGAGTTCTCTGCTCCTGTTCATCAACACTGCATCAACAAGTACTTAATTAGAAGACTAGCATAAAAAAAATATTTCATTCACATTAATAATGCATATATTTTAAAGTTTTTCAGGACGTACTTTCACTAACTTAACCCCAAAATGCTTATGCCTTGAAATTGTTGCTGGAGAGTATATGACTAGTTCTGTGCGTGAATGTGTGGATTATTTAATGATCCAATATGGATTACTCAGCATGCATTTCCCCTAGCAGTATGTCGTTTCTCTTTCCAGTGCCAAATTACTGAAATCAAACCTGTTGAGTTGACAAAATTATAAATATCTACTCATAATTCTGTTTCCCACAACCCCTTTCCTCCCATTTTTGTCTTTAATATTAAGGCGTAAGAGGAGCCGATGTGTCCGAGTTGAGAAGGATCGTTTCTGAGCCCTTCGGGGAACATCTTTTGGAGTGCGCAGACTTCTCTCTCCTGGAAACTCTCCTTCCCAAACTGTCCCGGAGGTTATGTTTCAGTGCTTCTGAACCTCCACGACCTGTAAAAACCATCCAGCCAAGTAAGCTTGTTCCACAAATGCCATCAGTGCTTTTACCTTTCATGTATGATTTTTGTGAGCTGCAAAGGAAGTTGTAACTGCTGGACCTTGTTTCAAATGTTTTCATCTTTCAAACAGATTCCATTTGATTAACCAAGGAGAAAATGATTGGAAAGAAGAAGGAAAAATACATATTTTAGAAAAATCTTTAAGAACAACCTAAGTCAACACTCTGAAGTCTTTTGAAGCATGTCTGTAACAGCTGCATGCGTTTAGAGGCTCTAGTTTAACAAGTAGTTCTAGCTCCGTCATATTTGATGGAGGCCATCTGTAAACATTAATTGCAGCATCTTGCCACAGACTGGCACAAATTTGAGTAGACCATTTTAACACATGAATTTGCTTCGATCTAAACCATGACTTTCTTGCTGTGGTCATAAACCTCTACCAGGATGAACCTCTACTCTTTTTTTTTTTATTTATTTTTTCATTTTTTTATATTTTGGAACCTTTAACTTTTTTTTTTTTTAGGCTGGCAAGCTTTAATCTGTTTGTGTGTCGAGCATACTTTTCCTCTTTACGTCATCTGCAGGTGAGCGGCACGTGGTTGGTCCCAGAGACTTGCAGGTGAGTGAGCTGGCCCACGGCTCCTTCAGGCTGACGTGGAGCCAGGCTACGGGGGATGTCACTGGATACCGTCTCCTGGTCACACCTCTCAGCTCCAGGGGACAACTACTGCTCAACCAGCAGAGGCAGGTGAGGGATGGTCAGGATGCTGGTGTGCAGTGCACCCTGTTTCTGCCTTTCATTCTTTCCTTTACTTCCCTTCATTGTCCTATCCCTTCCTTTCATGCCTTTCCTTCATCTGTTTTAACGCTTTCTTCCTTCATTACATCCATCTTCTTTCAATCCTTTTTCACTATTTCTTTCCCTCCTTACTCACTTTTCTGTTATGTTTTCATACTTATTATAATAAGGATGATAATCTATATTTTTATCAAATGTTTATGTTTTAAAATATGAAAGAGGACGAAATTGTAGTGAAGTTCTGGAACTTCAAATAAAAAAAATGTGCTGTAATCTTTATTGATGACGTGAGTAAAGATTACAGTAATAACAAACATGTATGAATATTTAATAAATGTGGATCCCAGAAATAGAGTAGCTAATCTTGTCAAATTAACAATATGTGATCAGGAGAACTAGGAAGTTGCCAGCAAATCCTGAAATCGCCTGAAGTTTAATGAAAAAATACATTCATAATACATTATGTATATAGACATTTCTCTAATTGAACTGCCTCTGGATAATTGCTGCGTCTTTTTCTTTAGAAGTCTTTCCACGTCATCTCATGTTGCTTTGCTCTTTCTGAGACACAATTCTTTGATTCATTTTTCACTGATCGTCCCTGTTGCGTAACAGCTGGATCTGAAGGCAGACGTGAGCACCGCTGTGGTGACAGAGCTCAGTCCGAAGACGGAGTATTCCCTCACCCTCTACGCCGTCTACCCAAACCTCATCGGCAACTCTGAAACACTCACAGTAAAAACAAGTGGGGCTTGTACTTCAGCATATATTTATCCGTTTAAAGCCTTCGTTGTTTTTATTATTACTTTGCTGTTCTGCTGTTCTCTAAGCAATGCACTTCTGTCTTTAGCTTCGTTGCCCAAAGTGTCAAACTTCCGCGTTATCGAGGAGGGCTTATTCTCTCTACGTCTCGGATGGACTCCTCCTCTGGGAATGCTCAATGGATTCAAGATATTTATACCTAGGTGTAAGTTGACTGTCGGTATGACTGGCTTTACAGATTGCATAGCAGCAGTGCTTTTACAACAGTTGCAAACATCCCTAAAAACAAGATAATTTAGACAGTGTTTTTGTGACTCAATTGGCCTTTATTAATTTGTAGCTGGACAGAAAAGAGGACAGAGAGAGACGGGGAAGACATGCAGTAAATGTCCCAGTATTGGGATGGGACATTATTGTCCCATTAACTCTGATTTACTTCTTCATCCCTGCTGTAGAAAAGCATCCCTACAGCATGATTCTGCCTCCACCACATCTCATCATTAGGGTTGGGTGTTGAAGATGATGTGAAGTGTTACTTTTTGGCTCCCATAGTGTAGCATGTAGGCTAAAAAATTACATTTTGGTCTTCTGTTATCAAAGCACCTTCTTCCTTGTGTTTGCTCTGCCTCTTGTGTGACCTGTGGCAAACTGCAAGCCGATTTATATTGAGATTAAATTAATCTCGGGTGAAGTTTATTGGTGAATTATACAACTTCTTAAGGCTTAATTGGAATAGGTATCACTGACATAATTCTGTTTCATTTTTCTAATGCTCTTCAGCCAACAGACCAGGATTAGCATACGAACAGCTGCTTCCTGGAGTCATCTCTTCTCATGTGATTGACGGCCTGGAAGAAGATAAAAAGTATACCGTCAATATCTATGCGGTTTACCCCGAGGGACCCAGTGAACCAGTGTCATTAGTGGGAAAAACATGTAGGTGTCACATTGAAATAAAGTGTTTATCCAACAGGAAGAAATAAAAATCTTCAGTATCATCATGTTTTGGGGAAAGCATATTTATTACTTGATTGCAATTCATAATAATCAGCTTTAAAAAAAATAGAATATCTAGGAGAAAGTCAATTCATACACTTATTAGAAGAAAGTAAGCACCATTATGTAGTACCTCAACATTTCCATAGTAGGGGGGTATTGTACTAAAAACAATCTGCCAGTAGGAACGCAGCCTGCATGAGATCTCAGCGTCTGCATACAAAAGTGGATTAAAAGATTTTGAATACATTTTTTTTTGCATGAATTTCATTTGATTTTTATTAAATGATCTCAAGTTTTTTTTAAGCTTGTAGGATAATTAAGACTTGTGAATAAAATATTGCATTAACCTTTGAAAATGTTTTTTGTATGTCCTTGAAATGTCGTTAACAGTAAAATTAGTAGCAGTCAAACAATTCCTGGTCCAGAATGCCACTACAGATACTGTCCAAGCAAGGTGGGAGTCGGTCAAGGGGGCAACAGGATACCGTCTGACATGGGCATCCCCAGGTACTGTAGCCTCTCTGTATTTTTAGAGAACACTGGTACACTGTGTGCTGTGTCACTCCTAATAATCCATTTTTCATTCTGGAACGCTCTTCTTCTGTCATTGTCCTGCAGATGGCCACATAGAGAACATCAACCTTGGGGAGAACTTCAACTTCTACATGATCCAAGGCCTGAACTCAGGCTCCGAGTACGTCGTCACAATCAACCCCATCTTTGGAGACACTGAGGGACCCGTCACCACCAACAAAGTCAAAACATGTAAACTAGCTATGTTAGATGTTATTGAATTTAGGTTTACGCGACTCTGCAATCACTAGTTTGCATTTTTGTACACTGTATGTAAATATCTCATCTCAGCTGTATGTTGCTGACAAATATATGCTGCATTTAGTCGTTCTTTTTTTTTGTTTCTTTCAGTGGAAAGCAGTGCTGTTCAAACTCTGAAGGCTTCCGCTGTAAGCACGAATTCAGCTGTTGTGTCTTGGAACAGCGTCCCAGGGGCCACAGGATACAGGCTGGCCTGGGGACCCACCCCAGGTACTACCTGTGTTTTGTGTTCCCAAACTTTATCATACAACCCCTGAGTACTCTTTACTAGAATAACCACAAGGTTAAATACTTCCTTACATTGTTTCTATATTGACACGATGGCAACGTTAAAAAAAAGAACGCTTAGATCAGTGCTGCCATCCAGAAGCTTGTTGGGAAATTAAAATATTTTTGGGGGAAAAAAGGAAATTATTCAGAGTGTTGTATAATACCAAGTGGGAGGGAAAGAAGTCACTTGGGGATACTGTACTTGAAGGAAAAACTAAAAAATTTATTTTATGTTTAGAATTTGCTGGTCGAGATCGTCCAAGGCAGTTGGCTTTGAACAGCAGCACCACAGAATACAAGCTGAAGAACGTGGCTCACGACACAGAATACGTCCTGTCTCTATACGTGCTTTTTGGGTCCGCCGTCGGGCCTGGCATCTCTGCAACGTTTAGAACTTGTGAGTACTTCCGCTGCATTTCTCTGGTCCCCGTGTTGCGAAACTGGCACGCTACAAATCACAAGTTGCAGCTATGGATGCTGTCAGAGTTTACTCACAGCATGCAAAATGTGGCGGTGAAAGTGTTTGTAATAAATTAGTTTTGGAACACTGCTTGATTGGCATGGCCACGATTGATTGTAACTTTTGGCATAAGACCTGTTCAGATTCTTGGATGACCAATCCATGCCAACATGGATGAGCTACGACTGCTGCTAAAAGGCTCCTCCATGCAGCACTCTGTGGAACCAGATTTGTTGGCACCACAATAACAAACCCCTGTGATCTCATCTTGGAGGTTTTTCATGCTCAGAGCAGTCAGGATATTCGTGCTCCATCATGTCTTTATTGGGAACGCACTGTGATCTTAAAGCACCACAGAAAACCCCCCTTGTTGATCTCATTCAAATTCTGGCTGATTTTTAATAGTTTGGTCTTTTTCCAGTGTGAAACAAGGAGGCCTTATGAATAAACATGGCAACACTGCCTATAAACTCTACATTATGTTATGCTATTAATTATTATTTCCTTATAAATATATCCATGCATATTTTGGTAATGGCGCCCACACATGGCAACCCTAAAGCAGCTACTTGATGAATAGAATAAACTTGATCTTTCATGAAAAAGAAAGCAGATGAAACAGAAGATAAAGTCAATGTGATCATTTTCATAATCCGTGGATGTTTGGATTATTTTGGTTTGGTATTTTTATTTTATTTTTTTATGGTGCTTCATTCACAATTCACTCGTTTGCGTTCAGATTATTGGCTCTTTCTTGTGTTCTGTCCCTTACATGTTGCATTAGATTCTCAAGTGGGTGATAATCTTTAGTTTGTTTATTGAGATTTTGTTGTTTTCTAGCGGCGCTCCCTGAGTTGAGTCAATATGTACTAGTCACAGGTCTTGTTTTTCCCTCACAGCTGCAGTTCGTTCAGTTAGTTGGACTCACCTGCTTCTCATGGCACTGATTACATTCTTCATACAGTTTCCTTCACTATTGCATTCCCATGGTTCCTGGTTCTCTTGTTTTTTGGCAGCATCCGTCCACACCCCTTCTCTGTGATTGGAGGGTTCCTTATCACTGTTTTGCGTCCAACAACCTATGAAAAAAGTCTAAAAATTACATTTTATTTTCATTAACTGCCATGAATTGCTATACTTGTCGAAACCGCTGGACTAATCTTGGTGAAATAAATATGATAAATTCGTAAGTACCATTAAATTAATTTAAAAAATGTTTTGTGTTCTCAATGTGTTAATGCTACTCTTTTACTTTCTCAGCTCCTTTAGGTTATGTGTCCAACTTTAAGGTGACATCTTACACTAGTACCTCCATAGCTGTGGAGTGGAGTCCTATTGTTGGAGCCACAGAGTACAAACTTTCTTGGTACACAGGTGAGTCATTTAACCTTAAATATGTATTTTGTGGGCTACTCTGCCTAATTTTTTAGGAACTGTTTTTATTTCCCTCTTACAATTTTCTCTGGGTCAATGTTTACAGATGACGGCAAACCACAGTTCCAGTATCTAGACCGAAGTGTCCTCTCCCACCAGATCAAGAATCTTATCCCACAGTCCACTTACACAATAACTATCCGTGCAGTGTACGGCAACTCGGAGGGACCAGATATCTCCTTGTCTCAACTAACATGTATGAAAGAAAAACAGAGTTTTGGCTCATTCTACAATTAATTTTTTTTCTGACCTGTGAAGTTGTGCATTCACATAAGTTCTGTAATTTCCACTCTAAATCCCTATATTTTTATAAATATTTTCCTTGTTGCATTAAATTTTATATCAATGAACAAGAAAGTAGTTTCAAATCATTATTTTAATAAAGGCAAAAAGCTATTTAAACCAATCTGGCCCCATGTGAAAAAGTACTTCCCTCTTGTCACTGCAACAAATCTGGCAGGTTAAGTGCAATTTGATAAAATGAGTTCAAACTTTGATGTAAACGCATCTGTTTTCAGCTGCAGTCTCAGAGTCGGAGCCTATCCAGCCAGTGAGGGAGCTAAAAGTTGTGGACATTGGGGTAAATTCCTTCACATTGTCTTGGAAGAAAACACCAGGAGTTTCAGGATACAAAATCTACTGGATTCCCTTTCTTGGTGAGAACTTGCTTTAAAAAAAAAAATCAATTTGTCTACTAATTAGTAGACTATGCATAATCACCTAACTTACAAAGGTTATTATAGCATAAAATTAATATTCTTTTTGTAATTGAGTCATTTTGTGCATCTGTTTTGGTTGCAAAAAGAAAAAAAAACAGTTAAATGTTCACATTCTAGTCTCCTGCACCTCATCATGTTAGAGTTTCAACCGTGTAAGTGTTCACAGCAGTGAACCTGCATGCTAGCTTCTAATTATTTTTTGCTCTAGGGGGTAACGAGAAATCCCAAGTGGTACCTGCTGCTTCCACAACCTTCACCATGGACAACCTTCAGGAGAGCTCGGCTTATAAGATCCAGGTTTCCCCCATGGTTGGTGGAAGAGAGGGAAGTCCTGTCCTGGTCACTGCACGAACACGTGAGTTCTCAAATCCCATTACGCCGAGCAGAAATCTGTTGCCTAATGTGTCCACACATCTTGACAATGCAATGTGCATATTTTAAATTAGGAGGAAATTGTATCAGAAGGCAAAAACTTTGAAGAGGCATCTCTTTAACAGTCAGACTTTAAGTATTTTTATTATTTAACTTCTGCATCTGTTTTTGTAATTTTGTGATCTAGTGGATCTTCCAAAAGTGGAGGGGTTTGCTGCCCTGAACACAACTGAGAGCAGCGCAGTTCTGAACTGGACTCGTGTAGCAGGAGTCTCTGGGTATCTTCTCTCTTGGAGGCATATTTCAGGTCAGTGTGTCGATTACAAATGTTTGTTTTGGGATTACTTGATACACATTTCAGTAAAACCCAAGAAGGTAAATTACCTCTGCTAAGTAGAGATCTGAGAACTGAACCAATTGTAGTTTTAAAGTCATCATATGCCTCAACAGTTTCTGTAAAAGTTGGTGTGCTGCATTTTAACATAAGGATAACATACTTGTGGTTAAATTTTCTTGATAAATGATTATAATTCCTTGTCAAAAAAATTATCTCAATTAGATATCTATGAAATGATTTGATTGGTAGAACACCGTTTAATGACAGTGTTATTAATTTCTGGATGAATAAATGTCACTGATTTGTTCTTCCTGTTTTTAGTGTTGGAGACAAAAACAGAAACTCTTGGTCCTGCCTTCTCATCCTATAAGATCAGTGACCTGCAGTACGGCAGGACATACATTTTCTCCATCAGACCTTTGTATGGCGAAGTGGAGGGGCCTATAAGCACCATATATCAGAGAATATGTAAGAATTTACACAAATAATTTGAATGAGCAATCTATGAAGCTCCATTTCAGATTTCTGTATAAATTTTATATGCAGTTGAAATATAAACCTTGCTTTTGTTCTGTTTTCGCATGCGTCATTATGCAATTTTAGAAACGCACAAAAACATTATTGTTGAGCTCTATAGATTAAGGAATAAAATTGTAGCTTCATTACATTTATATAAAACGTACAAAACATAATTTTGACTTAACACTGCAGAATTTCATATCTTACTGAAGTGCAGGTACTTCTTTAGTTTGACTTACCTTATAAGTAAAAATGATGGTTTTATGAATTTCAGTAGGGCAGAATGATCCTGTGAAACCAGGCCAATTTGTTCCAGCAACTGTGACGCTGAAATCCCCTCGTGTCACAGCTGGTCCCAACACTGTCGTCATCGTCAACCCAACCATTGCTCAACCAGCCACCAGAGACACTGAGCCCCCCATGGCTGCACCACCAGCTAACTCCATAACTACTAAAAAGCCCAGTGTCACTAAGGCCAAGGAGGCTGCAGTCACTTCCCTGAAAGTATCCACAGCCTCCACAAAGTCAACAGCTCCACCACAGCCAGGTATTTCAGAAATGCCGCTCTCAGTCTGTTTAATATGTGAATATCAAACATCCATGTGTTGGGCATGTCTTCTCTGTTTCATCAGTATGTGGGAAGGCCAAAGCAGACATAGTCTTCTTGGTGGATGAGTCGTCAAGCATCGGCGTTAACAACTTTGCCAAGATGAAAGACTTCATTTTCCGAGTGACCACTTACTTCCCCGTTATCGGCGCACACGGCACACAGGTCTGTCGCTCAGTGAAATTGGTCTTGTTCTCTCTTTTGTTGGCTTGATGAGGTGCTGAAAATTAGCTCCAGATGTGAACTGTCATCACTTTAGCTGCAAGTATTTTTTTAACAAATTCGAAGCTGGTTTTAATTCTGCAGACGCTGTTTTATATTACCGATAACTGTAGTTCACAAAACATACTTCTTGTTCAGAGTAGGATTAAATAACTGTAACATGGTGAGAAGTTTTTTTAATAATTGGACATAATCAGACAGAAACATTGTTAAAGTAAAGGTGCCCAGCTACTTGGCTTTGTACTTAAGACGACAGAGAATATTAGCAGAAGGAAGAAAGCACAACCAAAATGGAGCAACTACTAAACATCTCTCGTGATTATCCATTCAGCACTCTTACATTAGATCAAAAAGCAAATATGCTGATTATGAGCACTTTTCTCCTTTGTCATCTTCTAGGTTGCCGTGGTTCATTACAGCGATGAGCCTCGTATTGAGTTCCATCTAAGTGACTTCAAAGACAGAAACTCTGTGCTCAGGGCTATCAGAGGGCTGCGCTACACAGGTGGCAACACCAAAACAGGTTAGCTGAACCGACTCAAAGGTGAACTGTTCTTTTCTCTGTCTTCCACATCATCAAATGGCAAGTAAATCTTTTAAAAGTGATCTGTCTATTGATGTCACAACCTCAAGAATGTATCATACTGATGTAGAGGCAAATCATATTTACTGCTGTGATGTTGATGCTCTTAAAATTGTTTTTTCTGACACAAGCCAATGAAATTTACTTTAAAAAGCAAAATAAAATGACTTGAACATGAACGCTGTTTGTAGAAACTAAAGAAGATCAACATGCTGGAATTAGGAGTTATCTAAATACTATATTAGTACATTTGTGTCTCCAGGAAAAGGCATCGGCTATGTTCTGCAGGAACTGTTCATGGAGTCTTTGGGGATGAGACAAGATGTGGCCCATGTTCTGGTACTGATCACGGATGGCAGGGCCCAGGATGATGTGATGCCACCTTCCAGGATTGCACGTGCTTTAGGTGAGTTCCAGAAACCTCTGGATCCTTGAAAAACTTAATAATACAGGGTGTTTTAAATGTGTTCTTGCCTATTTCACACATTTTGTCTGTACTGATAACTGAGATATTGACAACCTTTCGTATGCAAAGAACCATTCTAACTAATACTTGTTTGGAGCTGAAAAAACCTGTGGGAACCTTTTCAAAAAATGTGCCTTTCCAAGTTTTATAATGCCTAAATGTTTAAAATTTAGCCTATGGTTAAATTTAATTTGTATTTTTAGCTCTCAGAAAAAACTAAAAATCAACATTTTCCACTGTTACTGACTTTCTGTTGGGGAATTTCTACTAATTACAATGGAACAAAATAGTAGTTGATTTGTATTTTTCTGATAGATTAAAACTAGGTACTACATGATTATGAAATGGAATGATTTCAAACTAGGTGTACATTTGTGTTAAAGCCCCTTATGTCAGTGCAGACCAAATACAGGCCATCTTCTTTCACACATTTGCTGCATACATGACATCTGGTAAAATGTAAGTACAACTGTTTGTTTTTTTTATCTGTGGATTTCTTATTCCAAGATGGCCGTAAAGGCCTGATTTGTGGATTGCACAACTAATAGTTGATAGATAAAAGCTCTGATTTAAGCTGATGAAGGTGAAAGTGTATTATTTGGGAAGTTTGCAGTTGTGTGAAACCCTCTGAATGCTTGAACGGTGCTCCTTAAGCTGCTGAAAAATATTTCGCATCAAATGACTGCACTGAATTAGTTCATCTTTATATTAAATTATATTGGTTGAAGAAAATATCTTGGCATATTAATAACTCATAAGTAGAGAAATTATGTCTCAATTTCAGTTAAACACTTTGGTGAATGCTCAGTTATTGCAGGTACATTGCTGTATACAACTCTGAATACTTCAATCTGTTTTTCTGTAGGGGTTAGCATATTAGCAGTTGGAGTTTCCAATGCAGACATCGAGGAGCTCAATAAAATTGCTGCTCCCAGCAGCTATAAAAATATCTTCTACTCGCCAACCTTTGATGACTTCCCCTCCATAGAGAGAGAATTTATCCAAAGCATCTGCAGTCAGGAGCTTCTCTCTGAATTCAAACTACCGGATGAGGTAAGAAAAGGAAAGACTGCCTCAATAGTTTTCTCCTTACTTCTCATACCACAATGGGTGGAATGAGTTCATATTTCCTGCACACACAAAAGAAAAACAATGCCGATCGAAGCGTTGCAGTTATCTCGTGGTTATGATGCGGTTTTATTGTATGTAGAAGTCTTTCAGAGCCCACAGGAATGTGCAATTTCGATGCGTGTAGAGATGGGAGTTATTCATGTGGAAAAGGAGACACATGAATAATGATGGAGGATCATTATTCCTATAATGAATAATGATGAGGATCATGGAAGATGGAGACATTCAGTCCATCTTCAAACTCACAAACAATAGCTCCGCAGGAGCAAATACGTCACCGTTCTTGACTTCATTTTGACGTCAGAGCAGTGGATAGAGGAGATGAATGCAGAGAGAGATTCGATGTCATTAGGCTCCATTGGAGAGTTAACATTGTGTTCTTTTCTTGTCATTTTGTGCTCAGTTTGCTCAGTTGGACACTCCGACTGAAGACCCAGAGGATTTGAATAAACCTTTAGGTCCCTGCGCCTCACAGTGTGTCAAGGTGTGTACCCCTCAACAAATTCAACAAGTAAACTTTCTCCTTTGTGTTTTGGTTTGCTGCTCATAATCATCTTAATTGTATACTTCAACAGGGCCAAAAAGGGGAAAAGGTGTGTTAATTGTCTCCCAGTAGCATTTTAGATTATTTAAATTGGTGTTTTTAGCATATTTTTTCCCCCTTCATTTTAGGGGAACGGTTTTGGTCTTGGTGGTTTGGTATGTTTACTCTTTACATTTGATCATTTTTCCTTATAGTTTAATTTATTCTGCATTTTTCAGCCTTTTTTTTCCATCATGATGTAACTTTATAAAATATAATTTTGTAGCAATTTAGGCAAAGCCCTGGACAGTTTGATCCTTTCATATCATCCAAAGGAGAAATAGGAGAGAAGGTAAGAGCCAACATGCATTTAATGTTATCATGCATTTTAATATCTCTGCACCACTATGCCAGTAAAACAATGCAAATTCCACACTACCGATCCCAATATACATAAAGTCTTCAAGTCTGGAGCACATCAACAGTGATGCACATATTTAAAAGTTGTGATGAGACAAAATCCCTTTCATTTGACGTTGAGGACTAATTCTTTTCCCACGTGGGACACCAACACTACACCTATACCACGTTCTACTTGGAAGTAGGAATTATAACTGGGAAACTGTAGCATGCTAACTACTTCAGCAGTTGTCACAAATACTTTGGACATTTGTATTTTGGCAACAAATATGCTGAATTATGTTTGTACTGCACATGCGGGTCTTCAAATTCTTGCCAAAAATTTGACAACTCATGAAAAGCAGGTTCATGTCCAAGCAGAGCAAACAGAAAGTCCCCAGATTAATTTTAGCCCAGTCTTGGTAAAACTATGGTCAATTCTAAACACTGCCCTCTGGTGACCAAAATGTGCAACAACAGAAATCAATGTAATGAACATATTTAAATGTACAAAACAACAATTTGTGCAACAACCTTCAAAATGAACCAACTTATCAGCTTTTCTGCCTGTTTGATAACAAACATGTTAAGTATTCACATCATATTAATACAGTTATTACAATGTGTTATTTCTTAACAATGCTGAGGAAGTTGTGCATTTGTGTAAAGATTCAAGCTCTCGATCTATAGGGACCTCCAGGAACGGATGGCATCCCTGGGTTGCCAGGGCGGCCAGGACGAACCGGACCTCCAGGTTCTGCTGGTCAGCGGGTAACTAAATTTAGAAATGAATAAATAAATCCCATTGTCACTGGTCATATTCTGAAAATATAACGTTTTTTTGTCTTTTTCAGGGCCTTCCAGGTGTCCCAGGGGAAATGGTGAGATGAAGAAAAGTTTTGAAAAAACTTTAACTTTGTGAACTTGAATTAGTTTTCTCCAAATGCAACAAAAATCATGTCTTGCACCTGCTGCTTCTCTTTTCTTTAATGTACCAAGAGGGCCTACCAAAATGTTGTTGCTGATATGTTTTGTTGGAAAATATATAAAACATAAAATAATGGTACACAAGGCACACACAAAACCTATGTTGCAAAGAACAATGGGAATGAAAGCGTAATGTTTCTAGAGACATATTTTACAGCTGTGAATGTAACAAAAGGTGCTTCTACAAAAGAGATTGAATGTAAACATATCCACACTTTTCAGATTTTTGTTTGAAACACATATTGCACACTATTGGTCTGCTACAGAAAACCATATGAACATGTCTAGAAGTTTGTGCTTGTAACATAACTGTGAGAAATTTAAAGGGATATGAAACCACAAATTATTAATCTTAGAGAGTCTGGAGCCAATGGATTTAAAGAAATGATTAGGTTTTATAAAATGTGTGTTTTGATCTTTTTAAATGTCTAATGTGTCAAATTAAAACAAGTATTTTTTTAATCTTCTGATGCTGTCTCATCTCTGTCCGTCGGCAGGGTCCTCCAGGTGTCCCCGGTTCAAAGGGACAGAGGGGAGAGCGAGTAAGTCAGATGTTGGGCTAAATTCTCCAGACTGATTTCAATTTATTTTTGCCCATTTCCTGAATTAATATATGAAGCGACTTGTCCAAAAATATGAATGTTGTGCAGACATTCACCTTTTACTTTTGTTGCATCAAAGGGAGAGCCTGGCTACGTTATAGCTGGTACAGATTCAAATTTTGTGCCTGGAAGAAAAGGAGAACCTGGATCTTCAGTAAGTTTTAAAGAAAGTGTTTGGCATTGAGTGATGCTGAGCAGTTCAAACCTAATTTCCTGGAGTTGCTCAGGGCCCGCAGGGACCACCCGGGGTACCGGGAGCGAATGGATCACCTGGCCTCCCCGGCCAGCCCGGCCCGCCAGGATCACCAGGAATATCTGTGAAGGTAGATATTCACTATTTATTTTATCCTTGCCTACTGATGTGTTGCATAACAGAATAATTTTGGAGAAATATAGATTTTCCTTTTCTTTTTTTTTGGTTCATTGGTCCAGCTAGGCTGCTTTTATTTTTGTGCTTTGTAGGGAGATCCTGGAGCTCCGGGAGCCAAAGTAAGGATGACGCCTCTCTTGTGTTTCTTTGTGTTAAATGACTTGCTGGTTCTTTGGCTTTAATTTTACTTTAACACAATTCTTGCACTTAAACCTATTTTTATAACTGCAGAATCACTTTCTTTGTTATATAATATAGCTGGGTTTCTTCATTAATTTTTGAAAGGGTTTACGAGGGAAGCATGGCTTGAAAGGAGACAAAGGAGAGCCAGGAAAAGATGTAAGTTCATAATTGTTACATTTATAAATGGTGGGAAAAGATATTGTCCAGGAAAGAAGGGCTAATATTTAAACTTAATGGGGGGAAAAATGTTGAAATACTCCTTTTTAAAATGTTTTTTGTTCACTGTTGCATTATGCAAACTCCTGCAGGGTATTGCAGGTCTTCCTGGTCCCATTGGCATCGATGGTATACCAGGATTGCCAGGTCACAAAGGAGAAAAGGTAAAACATCCTTTACACTTGTGAGTGAATACATCTTGGACTTATAGATTTAATTTACTATGGATGCATCTTTTGCAGGGTGAAGACGGACTCGGTATACAAGGAATCCAAGGTCCTCAAGGAGAGAAAGGAGAGAAGGTACATAAGTAGAGCATCAATGTTGCTGTGTTGAATTTAGCACGATTTCAAAAGAAATTAGAAAAAACGATGGAAATGCATATTGGGGTCCATAGTGCTATGATTACAAACACAGAATGAAGGCTGTTAATACTTAAAAATAGGTGGTTTGGTCAGATAAGACAAAGAACAAACTTTTCATCAAACACTTCATGTGGCCTGGTAGAAAACAAAAAATGGCCACGTTTTGATAGGATAATGATGCAAAAACTGCTTGTACAAAGATGTGCGCTCCAACCTTGAACATTGATGAAAGGCTAGCTGCTTCTACTGAGCAAAAGGGTTTGTTCACTGTCCTAACAGGAAAGGTGTCTAATGGTGCCAAATGTACTTTGGACATTAACATTTTTCTGAATGTTTTTGTTTATTTTTCAGGGAAATATTGGCTTAACGGGAGCAGAGGGACCAAAGGTACAAAACACTGATCTTCAGCATGGAAAATGTCATATTTTTGATTAAAAAAATAAATAAATACATGTAAATATTTTGCCCTTCTAGGGTGACCGTGGAGACCAGGGCATCCAGGGACTGGGTGGACCCCGGGTTTGTAGTTCATTTCTATGTTCCGCTGATTTCATGCAACAACCTCTGCTTGTCTTTACCCTGCAGAGAATACGAATTAATTGTGCTGGCTTGAAATGAGTTATAATCAGTGTCTTTTTAACTGAGGCTAAGACTCTGTGATGAAAAGATTCACTTGGTGTGACTCATTTTTACTCTCAGGGGAAAAAGGGATTGAAAGGAGAAAAAGGGGACAAGGTGAGTTTCTCTTTCAGTAATGTATTCTCCCCTCATTAGATTGAAAACTCTTTATGTTGTGCTAAAGTTGAATAATTTTTATTTCAGCGATAAGACTGACAATATTAGGTGTGCATGTAGATGTAAAATCTGTAAACTTTTTTTTGTTATTTTAGGGAGAGCAGGGAGAAAAAGGACCAGATGGACCACAAGGACCTCAAGTTAGTGAAGTTTATTATTAGTAAAATATAGATGTCACACAAGAACACCTACTGTCTTCACTGATTGACTTTAGAAAATTATAAACACATATATGTTTATTTTCCTTTTTTATTGGAAAATAAAAACTAAAATTGATTATAATCTTGTGCATTGTCTTAGCAGAGGTACTTAAATTTTGAAATGAAGAAATAAGGAAGTCGCTTTCAAGGTTTTCTAGATCCGATTTTAATTAACGTGGTTTGAAGAATTTTGAGTAAAACTTTTGATTCTCAATGGGCAAATTAAACAGTTAGTCATGTTTTTCAATTTGTTATTCTTGATTTGAAGCTTTATAAGATTTTATGTGAAAAACTGTTGTCTTCGGGACCAACCACAGCTTTTAAGAGACTACACCACTGAATCGTCATAGAGACAGCAAACCAAGTTAAAAAATCCAGCATATTGATAAGTTGATTCAACTGTTCCAGGGACTAATTGGGCCAATTGGATTGAAAGGAGATGAAGGACAAAGAGGAGCCCCTGGAGATCCTGCGATGGGTGTAAGAAAACATAGTTATGCATTTAAATAACACAAATTAAAGCATTTATCACTGAGTTTCCTTCCTTTTTGTCAACCAACCTGGCAGATAATTGGCCCACCTGGAAAAAAAGGTGCCAGGGTGAGTCAGTTTCTCTTTATTGATTCTACTTTTTAGGTGAAAATAGCACAATATATTTGCAAGCAGCATAATTTTAACAAACCCCAATTCACCACTAAGAAAATCATGGTAATGCTGCTCTAAGCAATACCAAGTAGTTTTCAAGTAGTTTTTTTCCACTGCTGAGTTTGTGTGGCTTAAAAATCTGGATTATTTCATTATGGTATGACACATTTGTTCCTTCACCTGTTGAGGAGAAAGCACCATCAGTATTCTCAACAGCTTTCAGCAGCATGTGAGGTTGCATTTGAGGGCGATGCCTCTGCAGAGTGCAATGAATTACACAGCCATCCACCTTGTGTTTTCATTTGGCAAAGCTCTGCCTGCACATACCTTGACAAGTACAGTTCAAATAACTTTTGCACAAAAATCCAAACTCTGTGTGCTTTTCACGGAACATTTGGAAATGCTTGCAGCAAGTCAACGGAGCATGAAGTTGTAGAATCTTGTGTCTACACTTTATTTTACTTTTGCAATCTAAATGGTTTAAAAAAAATCTCTTTCTACATGTCCCTTCCTGTTGCTCCTTCTATTTCCAATCATCCTCCTCCCCTCTGCTAAATGTTATGTTGGGCTTCTTTTAGGCAAGCAACATATTTTACAGCTGTAGCCTGGGAAGCTTACAACTTCATTTGGTCACTCAAGGTCTGGTCAATGTGCAATTTGGAGGTGTGTGTCTTTCCCCTTTTGAGTCTATTGCACATCAGTCTCTGCAAACCATTGGAGACTAGGCTGAAAACTTTTTAAAAATAACCTTTAAGCAGGTATCAAACTTTTCATTAAACTTGCATTTTTTTATTCATTTTTATTGGCCTAAAATATTGTAATCTTAAATGTCAAGTTTTCATTCACTGTGAACACAAATGGCATCAACTGCAACAACAGAATGGATGCTTGAAAACATCAGTGTCTATTTAATTTATGCCTCGCTTTGTGAATGGAGTTACTGAGGTAAATTAGCTTTACCATAATCTAATTGGTTTACCATGTCTGTATAAGGAAAAGATGGGGACACATGTTTATAGTCGACAAGTTCAGGTGGAAATTTGAAGCCATTAAAACTATTCACTGATAGGAAAACCACAACCTCACGTGTTCTTAAGTTGGCCAAATTTATTTGTCTTAACTGGTTGAAGATATGTCTCCCAGCTGTGGGGAAGTGATGTTTTTGATGTTTTGCTCCATGAAAACATTGCTAATTAATTGTTCAGGGTATTCTTGCACACTCACTCAGCCCTCTGGGTCCGCTTATCAAACACAATTAAGATTTCTCTCATTAACTTTTGCGGTTGGCTTCTGAATGCTTCGTTAAAGGGGACCTTTTTAATCTCAGTCCACAGGGTATCATTTGGAGAGGGAGGGGGGGGGGGGAAACAAAACTTTGGCCACATTCATGACTGTCTCTGTGTCCACGTTGTGTATGTGAACATTTTCCTCCTATAGGGAGATCTCGGCCCAATTGGTCAAACAGGTCCTCAGGGAATTAAAGGAGATCAAGGAGAGAAAGGAGAAAAGGTGAAAAGAATTTTTTTTTTCATCTACATATGTTCAGGTAGAAGCAGAGGAAATATAACTGCAATTGTTTTTTTTTGTTTTTTTTTTTCATGCAGGGAAGTCCTGGTTTTGGGATTCCAGGTCTTCCAGGACAGAAGGGGATAAATGGTGAGAGGGTGAGTTACTAACACAGTTTTCATATTGTGAAGCAAAAAATAGAGAAAAAATTTTTTTAATGTTTTGCTATTCTTAGGGAAATGTTGGTCTGTCAGGGAAGCCAGGACCAAAGGTCAGTGAAATAAGTTTTTATTTTTTTTCACATCAGTTAAAGTATTTGGTAAAATTGTCTCTAAACACAAGTTTGTACTCATTGATTTTAAAATATTTTTTACTTGCATGCTTTACTTTGTGCTTGGTAATAATACATTTCATACATCAGATTTCTTGTGTATTAAATTAAATCTCCCTCAGTAAAAACAAAAAACAAAAAAAAACTGAAAAACATTTGTTCTCCACGCATGCCTCATATTTTCACATCTATTTTCAAGCATCATTTACGATACGAAATGGCCACTATTATAACAGAACCCACAATGACTCAATAATTACTGATGGAAACGAAAGTCTGGCTTAATCTCTCAGTATTTTTCAGGTGGAGGATTTTCTCAAAGAGCCTCATTCCCTGTAACAGCAAGCAGCAGGTTTTATCAAGGATGCTCTAACACTAACGGCTTGCAATTTAGCTATTACCACCAGCAGACTGATAGTCACAGCCTGATGCTTGGAGTGAAGGGCTTGGACAAAATTTTACCTTTTTTTTCTTTTCTTTCTTAACTATTACTAGAGCAGGATCAAAGCAAAATTCACTTGGTTACCAGTAACATAAATGAGTATTTGCATTTCTCTGTGTTTAACACTTAGTTTAGTTAAACCAGCTTTTAAATTGGTTTCATTTTTAAACCCTTACAAATACTGTAAGTATTTACTAAGGCTGAAAACAAGATTTATGTTTTTTTCTTTTTCAGGGCAAAGATGGTGCAAAAGGGGAGAAGGGAAGTGTTGGCTTGCCTGGAAATTCTGGAGAACCAGGATTAAGAGGTAAAGATGTAAGTAAGTCCTGTGTGGCTGTTAAACAGCAATTAAAATGAGTTGTTGGTATAATGCTGTTCATTTCATTACATTAGGTTATTTGTAAAAGAGTGGATTAAAAATTCAAACCATACACAGCAGACTGCTAGCAAAACTCAGGTCAAAGTACAAAGTTATTTGCACCCATTAAATTTTTATGTGTGTTAACCAGAAGCTTCAATGGATTTAAGAAGCATTTTTAAACTAAAAGGAGCTGAATACATATTCTCGCCACTCTTTTCAGAACTTTCTCAGTCACGTCTCTTTCTACTTCCACTTAACAGTTATGCTCCACTTTGTTTTGATGTCGGATAAAATCCCAAAATGTGGCTGCTTTTGCTATGCAGTGTATTTATTTCAAGTTATTTAAGCGTTAAAACATGAGCAAATGTCCAACGACGTCAACAAAAAGTTTTCACTGAATTGAAGGTCAGAAAATGTCAAATTTAGCTTTTCCTCAATTTCACTTCCAGCTTGTACAAACAGCCACGTGTCGACACAGTAAATGCATCAATATTCATTGTTACTTGTCCATATAGGGAGCACCTGGAGCGAAGGGAGAACCAGGAATGAAGGTACGATCAGTCTGGCTATGTGGTTTCAATCATTGTTTCATTTGAGCCTTTAGTGTCTTACCCTGCTTCTTAGTATATAGACTCTTCTGTCAATTAGGTCATATCATGAAGTATTGGTGTAAAATATCTATTATTTGTGAACCTTGCAGGGTGACCCAGGGTTCACTGGAGAGCCTGGTGAAAGAGGAATAAGGGTATTTTTATATATTTTTTTGCCTTCTTAAAATTGAGAAGTGACACAGATTTGAATGAAAATCAAGTTTGATAAACACGATGGCAGTTAAAGAACAGATTTTTATCCGATCTGTGATTCAGCTGAATAATGAACATGTTTGGATCAAACATTCAGTTTGCATAGATTTGGTAAAGATATCAAACTGAAAATAAATTTTAAAAAATGTACAAATAAACTTTTTTTTTTTCCATTGTAAACCTTTTTGCATACCTCAGTTTTACCCTTATGTTACAATTTTAATTATACTATATCAATGTTTGCTCTGGTTTAAAACTATATCCTAATCGAAAGCTTAATTCTGTTGATTTGTTGTTAATCAGGGTCCATTGGGGTTACCAGGGCGACCAGGTGACCCTGGAGAAAAAGGTGAACCAGGTCTTCCTGTAAGTTGTATTCCACGATGGTCACACCATCTTACTGCCCTCCCAGATTTTTAGTAACGATGTCAGGCATTTATTCGCCCACCCTTTATTTATTCTATTAAAGGGTACTGATGGAAAGAAAGGCGATAAAGGAGAAATGGTATGTTTGCGTGTGCACTCCCTCCCCCCCCTCTCAGTGATTGTTTCTCCTTCTGGCTGCTTTCTGATCATTCTTCTGCGCCAGTCACCCTTTAAATGCTGCACAACCTTTTATCCTCTTGTGAAGACATGATTCCTGATTTGATATGATGCTAATTAACTTGGCTTTTTGTGTGTGTCACCCTTGGAAGCACAGTCTAATTTTCCCTTGTGCTGCAAACACTTGGTGTTTTGTGTGACGTCTTAGATCCTAACTGTTGCTTTGTTCCTGTTCTTTTAACGCAACTGGGATTGAAACAAAGGGGAAACCTGGACCCCCGGGAACACAAGTAAGCAAATCTGAATCGCTGTTTTATACTTTGTTCCTTAAAACATATCAACGTTTTGACAATATTTGTATTTAATTGTTTTTCTTGGGAATAAATAAGATTTGTTGCCCTGATAATCGCCAGGTTGTTGCAGAAAACGGCATACTGACCAGAGTTATTAAGGTAACTAGAACAGAAAACATGCAGCATCCTCAGTCAGAATTTAACTTTTTGTTCCACAAGATGATAACCCTTAGTTTTTCTCTGCTGTGTTTTTATTGTTTTTAACAGGGTGACCCTGGAGAACCGGGCCAGCCTGGCCTGAGAGGAGAAACGGGTCTACCTGGGCCAAGAGTAAGGATTCAGTCCCTTACGTGTCAAGATAAATATATAAATTAAACTAAGCTGCTTATTTTTACAGATATCATTAAGAGAAGTAAAGTGAAACTCAAAATAGTTTCAATTTATGATGACGGCATATTATAAGGATGTAAAATTGGTGATTATTCTCTAGAGTAATGAAATTCAAATTCAATTTAAAAATTAATATCAAAGGGAAAATAAATGATCAAAATGGCAACTTTTGAACACATGCTGTTTGGTTACCGAAAACATTTTTTTACGTTAATAATAAATATTGTAGAACTTGAAAAGAAATTTCATTATATAATCATTATTTCAACTGTAACATAAGATAACTGCAAATTCCAATTGGCTCAAAGATCACATAAAAACATGAGAAATAGGTGGGGGCAGGGTTGTGCTTGAACTGGGTCAATACATCGAATCTAATCAATATATCACTCATCCCCTTTTGTATATTAATTTCTGTTTTGTTTTGTGTAAACGGTCTTGGAATAAGTTCACAGTTTTTAAGGTATTTTAAAACATCAATTATTGAAAATTGCTTGAAATTATTTGCTAAAAATGGACAACAACAGTACTAACAGATGCAGTTGCATAAATATTTGCTTGCAAGAAATTAAATTAAACATTCTCAAATTTTTTCCAGGGACCAGAAGGAAAACCTGGATTACCGGGAAATTTGCAGGTGCCTCAAAATAAAATCCCATGTTACATTCTTCTGTTTGTGGGACTTAATCTTGGACTTAAAATGTGTTCAGATATTAAACATTTTGTCTTGCAGGGCTCTGGAAGAGATGGACTTGACGGCCTTCTAGGAAAACCAGGAGTAAAGGTTGAATTGTTGAAAAGTACTGTCAAGAGTTTTCTGTAACTTCTCATCACTGAAAAATATAAAAGATGTTTTGTCTTTTGTGTAGGGAGATAAAGGGCATAAAGGAGAACCTGGTCCAGTAAGTACATACAAAATACAATAAATGGTTACTTTAAATAGCTCTCAAATTGGTACAAAATTGTCTCTAGATGCACAGAAAGACCTGTGACCAATCCACACATAGCGGAAAGATGTCTGCGTTATAAAATGTTTCTGTGAGCTCTATGCATGCATGCATCTATAGACTTCAGGAGGTGGCAGTGCTGCAGGCTGAAGAGGTTTCACTCGGCACAATCAAGTCAGCTGCAACAACACTAACCCTACTATGCGCTATATGAACTAGAATCTTAATCTATTTTTAATGGGCAACTTTTTTTATGTGATTTACATAATTTAATATCTAAATTGTGTAATTAGCCATCAATTTTCTGTTACTTATTCAGGTCCAGATTGTGATAATGAGATTAATTTTATCATTAGAAACTATTCTTATAAGATGCTGCAAAGGAGAGGAAAGATGTGGTCTAATGATACATAATTGTTGTTCATAATATTCCCATTAAATTTCTATAATACTGTAATATTCTGGTGTGTACAACCATGAAATGGGAATTAAACTGCATTATGTTTGGTATTGCATTGTCTTTAAATTGTAGTAAATCAAACTTGGTGAACCCTACAGACGTTGTGTTTAAGAACCCCTGAAGTTGCATATACAGTTCAGACCAGATGCTTGGAGAATCTGTATAAGAACACTGTTATTTTTCTTATTTAGATTAAGTAAGAGTAAACTTTTCAGTTAGGATTACATAAATTAATTTCATTTTTGGTGAATGACAGAATGATAAAGGTTTTTTTTGTTTTACTTTCTATAAATTGAGAAGTTTGCGTTCACTTAGATTTTGATGAATTCAAGCTATTTAAATGAGCTTGAAACCAAAACTTAAGCTAAAAACAAAATCAAAAATACACAAACCCATCGTTCATGACAGATGAGTCTACCAAATGGATGAATGCCATTATTGGCAACAAAATTAAATGTTTTGGGGAAGCTGTTTAAGTAACTGACCTAAAATGGGAAACATTTAGTCAGGTTTTGTTTCAGATGCTTAGTGGGCAATAAATTGTAAACTGCAAATGATGATACAGCAAACTGGAAGCTTGGATAAAGATCTGAATGATTCTATAATGCGGTTTAGATTTTAGGCGGGGGGGTTTTGTGTGTGTTGACAGGAGATGGACTGATAAGGGAGTCTAAGTCAAGTGCTCCCTTACCACTGTGCCGTCACCACACTAAAAAGTAGCATCACTCAGAAACGGTGTCATCTTTTTTTTTTTTTTTGTGCAGAATTGGTGCATGTTTAATTACCCTGCACGACACAATGTAATTCAAGCTTTACCAATCACTTTTGAAGAGTGTTAAATAATACTCTTAAGCATTACTGCTACGTACGTACAAGTTTCAGTGCATGTGGATGCGGAAAAAACCCAATTGTCATCCGACCTGTGAAATGATCTGGGACACTTGAAGGCAGGAGTAGTTTCTGGAGCTCACCGAATCCAAGTGTGTGTTAGGTTTATTCCTCATATTCTCTGATTAATCAAGTTTATAGCAAGTTGTGTGTGTGTGTGTGTGTGTGTCAATGAACAGAGAGGAGAGCAAGGGATTGCTGGAATGCCTGGATTACCAGGAACTCCAGTGAGTATCACTTTAAAAAGCTCCAGATGAAGCGTTGTGGTCAATTTAGGTTCATGTACTGATTGCTTCTTTCTTCAGTTTACAGCCAGTGTAATCTCAGGACTGTTAACAAAAAGGGTTCAATTCAATCCACATTTAGAATGCTATTTTAACCTTTTTTGGTTTTGTTTCAGGGGAGACCAGGCATTGATGGGAAGAGAGGCCTGCCTGGAAAGGATGTGAGAAATGCAAGCTACATTTATGACAGTCTTACTCTATATTTTATGTATCTTTTCCCATGAGCTTCAAAACATTCACATTGTTTTTACCCACAGGGAGAAAATGGATTCAAAGGAGAGGATGGAAAAAAGGTATTTATGAAATACTTCAAAGTAACAATTTTGGTGCTATGTTTTATTTTTTATTTTTTTTGGAAAAGTGTTAATTTTCCTCTACATTTAAGGGCAACAAAGGGGATCCTGGTGTCAATGTGAGTCGTTTTGAAGGTGATAAAAACATCGTTCTGTCACCTTTAAACTGATGTACCAACTAATTGTTTTTTTCTTTTTTTAAAGGGGAAAGATGGAAGTAAAGGGGAGCCAGGGCCTCCAGGTTCGCCTGGTAGGCAGGTGCTAGTCACGACTGAGGTAGAAATAAACCCATGCTTTCATTGTGATACCTTAACCTGGAAGCAGATGTCAAATCTTTCATATTTTTTTTTTAACTATAAGTAGAACAACCTTCAACAAATTTTGAGCATTGACAATCACTGCAACTTGATTTTACATTTTTATTGTTTTATTGTTTGTGTAGCAATTTCTTTCAAAGTTTAATTTCATTTGCACTAGTAGGTGTTTTTTTATGTGTTGTAAATCTACTAATTTCTAAGTATGGAAGGATTAAAAGCAATATTAAAAATCAGGAACTTTTTATGTATGGCTAGCTTTGACGTCAGTAAGGAAAAATATACTAAAACATGATTTTTCTGCAACATTTAAAGAAGTTATTGTTGTATGTGCCACACGTGGAGCAATTTATATGCAGTTAACTTTGAAAAACAAATGAGCAGAATCAATGTTGCTGCCAATTTTCCACACACTGGCTCCCATAATACCAATAACACTCCCCCAGTTTTCATTTATAGGACATGTAGGAAAATCTACATGTAATTTAAGTGGAGATATCTTTGTTCAGGGCGCCACAATTGATGACATTCGGCAGGCATTTCCAATCCCAATGGGTCCACCAGGAGCTACTGTGAGTTTACTACTTCTATATACACAACATGTTTCTGCATACAGCATGAGCAGCTCATAAATAATTGCACGTCATTCCTGCTGCCGCTCGGCATAATTCATGCATTGCCTGGATAGAATCTAAATCGTCGATGAGCGATGGCTGCATTGTATTTTACTTTAGGTTGAAACTGGCTGCGGAAAGAATAAAAACAGCATTGCACGCTTGATGTCATGCATATTAGATGCATGCTCAAAATGTCTTGCTCCTCTCTTTCTGTGTGTGTGTAGGGTGCACCAGGACTGAAGGTAAGGCTGTATCACTGTTCATTGAGGATGGCTTAGGCAGAAATATGAGCTTGATGCTTTATTTGTCCTATTTTTCAGGGGGGAAAAGGAGAGCGAGGCCTGAAAGGGGAAAAGGTAGTTACTGATGATTTAAATGTGAAAAACATGAAAATGGAAACTGCCTTATTGTGCGCTTTATAAACATCCATATCTATACAGGGAGATGCTGGCGCTCCTGGAAAGTCTCTGGAGATGAAGGTTGAACACATGACATTGTGATTCCTCCTCTGGGATACATTCTCTGGGTTTATGCTATTGTCACTGAAAATATTTTGCCTCCATTTTAGGACGTTGAAGAAATGTTTGAAAACTATGGAATAAGGGTGAGATTTGGACCTTATAAGTCTATGAAAATTAAGTGTGATGGCACATTGTCATGTTTTGTTTTTTTTTCCCACAGCTGCCTTTGTTGAAGGCTTTGATTGACAGGCTGCTGCAGGACGGTATAGAGGAACTGCTCCAAGTGCTCACTACATCCAAGAAAAAAGAAAAAACTGATACTCACACCTCCAATATCATCACCGAGTACACTGTACGTAATGTCAATCTGGATTTTTTCTGCTCATTCCCCAAGAGGCCTCTACACAGCCAGGACAGGAAGAGTAGAAATGTAATATAAGCAAGTGAACATTATGTCCAAATCATGCTGAGGCTGTAAAGAAAATTAAATTCAAAAGGATCCAAGAAAGAGTCAAATAATATTCAGCCTCTCCATTCTTTTCTGCTACTCTTAAATTCTGCTTTTCTTAATCTTTCGGCGTCTTTTATATTTCATGCGTGAGAATTTTGTTTTGCTAATCAAATCAGTCATTGCATAACATTATGAAGAAATAGACTGTTTTGTTTTTGGTTTTTTAGAGTTCTTTGAAATTTGACCTCACCAACAAGCCACTGATGGCATTAGATGATGAGGACAAACATTTAGAGAGCGAACTGCTTGATCCTCTGTCAGCTGTAAGTATTCAACTTGGTAATGATGAACTGATGCTAAGGCGTTAATTTCCTCATAAAATAAGGAAAACTACAAGGTCTAAATATAGAAATACATTTCCACTGAGGTTTCATTAAATGAACCATGATATGTTCCACATTGACTTGTTTTTTGTTGCCATTAACATGATTAACATGCAGCAGTACTGGCTTTTTATCTCCCTAATTACATACATTCTGACCGTCTTTCATTTTGTTTTCTCTGAAGGGACCTTTGATTGAAACCGCAGAGGGTCCAACGCTGTGGACCATGACCACAGTGGACGGAGAGAAGAAAGTCACCAAATTAAAGGGATCCAAAGGGACAGGGGAAGAAGACTGGGATGGGGACAAAGTGTCTTCACTCAAAATGAATCTGACTCTGGTCAATTCTACCTTGAACCACACCAACGTTGAGGAGGTAGGAACTCCTAATATTCTCAACATTGTTTGGAATCTCATAATTTAACGCTGCTTTGGGATGTGACTGATTATTATTCCGTTTTGTCATTTTTTGTTCTTGTGGTTAAATATTATTCAGTTCAATAACTTCATTAATTAGCTGTCTGCAAATCACTCTCTAATTAGAATTCTAAAATCTACCTTAAATATTGAATTAAACTAATATCAAAATGCAATTTGATAATTAAATCATCCATGATTTTTGTTGAAATGTTGTAAATGTGTCTTTAGACGGTCTCAGTATTGCCTGAAACTGTGCTGGAGACTGTTCTCCTCACACAGGATGACCCACTGAAGGAGAACTCGGCACCAAAGAAGAAGAACAGGGAACATGGGAAAGTAAAGCTTTCTCATTAATACACTTTAAATACACATGAAATGCTACTCAGTTTAATTTAATGCACATATTTAATGGCGCACACTTGCCTTTCATGTTTTAACTCATTCTACAGAAAACATAATGACGTGAATTCAATAAAAATATTCAAATCAGCTCTTGAAGACATGTAAAGATTTAAATCTCTGACATTTCGTTGCAAGTTAACAGTGGTGGTGTTGCAGGTGTGGGCAGGAGTTGGTGCACTAATGAGATGTATGCAGTAAAAAAAAGGTTAACCTAAAAGATATTCTTAACCCAGGAAATATAACTGAAGAAAAACATAATTGGCGTTCGATATACTGCAATCCCTATACATATATATTTTCTTTTTGCCGCTAAAGTACTTACTAAATTAAGTACTTCACTTTGCTATAACTCTAGTTATGAATGGTTTAACTTCGGTCATCCATAAACATATTTGTAAGGTGGACTTTTGTCTCAATAACTTTGCATCAACTGAGTTCTTTATTTATTTTTTGTCAAAATTCCTCTGAATAAATAGAGAAGAAAATCATCAATGAGCTAAAACATGAAGTCAGTGGTGTGATTCAAATAAATAAAAACTGGATTACGTCTTGTGTATTTTTGTATTCACCTTGATGATCATTAACTTCTTCCCTGCTGTTAATATCACTCTTAACTTATCAACCATAATTTTACCAACATCGGAAACATGAGGAACTTGTATCTTTTTCTCTTTTTTCCCCCCTCTGACTGTTGACTTTTTAACCAGGGCAAAGGAAATAAAGGACGACAAAAGAGGCAGAGACGACGCCTGGTAAATGTCCTTAAAGGGTGTCAAACTAAACATGGAAACTGAACTTACCTTTTCTTTTAAACTGACCAAAAACAAAGAAATTAGGGGTGTAGCTGATATTATCAGCCGAGTCAAAGCCAGCAGTGGCAGTTTTTGATGTGGCGCTATGGGGAAGACGCAAGTACTTGAGAATCGGTAAAAAAAAAAAACACGTGATGAACAAGTTTTCTGTAGTCTTAATGTATGTTCAGAAGTTGTAGTTGTCTTATATTTGATGCTGAGAATATGGAGACGTGGTCAGGTGCATTCTGCCTGCATGCAAAGCATTTTATCACCCTTAAAATCTCAGATAATAGATTTTTACCCTGCCTTCTGCTGGTGGCAAATAACCATTTCTAAACTTTTTTAAGAGGCTGTACTTTGATTAAAAAAAATAAAAAAGTTCCCAAAAATATTCTTAGTGTCATCTTGTCGTCTTCCCGTAGACGCTGTATGTTGCATTGTCCCGTCTCGTGAGCCGAATGAATCGTTACACCCCTAATGTCAACTAACACTTCTCGACCTACTAAACTCCAAAAACAAACTCTAACAGTTCTAACATAACATAAACCGACAAGAAATAACAGCTCCTTTAACTACATTTTAATAAATTAGGACTAAATAACTAATTCTAGTTATAACACCCTCAATTAACAGTAGATTTTATGGATGATGCCTCTGCAATATGGAGCATGTGTCTGTTTTAATATCTATGTGCTTCCAATGAAAATGTTGACTTAATCGGTGGATTGCTCTGTGATTTCTTGGCTTTGTTCTCCTCAATCACACAACTGATGTAAATGTTGATAATTGCAACTTTTCTCTTAAGATGAATAACGAGCACAAGCAAAAGGAAGAGGAAAACGAGGACTTCTATGACGATGAAGAATATACTTATGAATACGAGGTAGGCAGTGGTTGCACCAAATTAGTAATTCAGTCTCGGTTGGGAGCTTTCTCTTAAATGTGATGTTGATGACGTGGATTATCTTACAGATTCAAGCTCGGGGGATATAGAGGCTTCCCCCCCCCCCTCCAGTTATCTCTGGGGACTCAAAGATATCTGTGCTCACACAAATACTGGAAAGCGTTGATTAATGACACACCCACTACCTGAATTTAATCATTAGGGTTGAATTAGTTTGTCAGTGCAGCTCGCTGCATCTGCTGTGTATGTTTTGCACCAAGGATGTGCATGTTTTAAAAGTTATGATGAAAGAATTTTTTGTTTGTTTCTTTGAAACAGGAAGAACTTTTCCCAGACGAACCTACAGTCTCTCTGGAGAGGACAGGGAAGGGAGAGGTAAATTTGCTTCAAACAGAATGCTCTCATCTGTGTCAGCTGGACTGGGTATAAACGTCATGATTCATTTTTAATGTAAAATATGCTCAATGCTTTTTTTTGCATGCGGCTTGAAGCCTAAATAGATGAATTCCCAAGTCCTGTGTATGAAAACAAAGCACGATTGAAACAATAGACAATATAACTCTTATATTTAATTATGTTCTTTGAATCATCTTTGCAGGAGGAACAGCTATTCACACAAAGTCCAGACCCGTTTGAAACCTCCAGTCGTCCTCTAGCCACCGTCAGAGAAACCGATGCACAGGTAACTGCTCATTATGGATGGCATACTGTGTCATTTTAGCTTGGTCAGCATGCACAAGGACACATCCATAAAATGAAAGTTATCTTTTTGTTCCAATGAAAACCCCCTTATAGGAATATATTATTTTGTTTTTCCCCTCTGATGTAGTTGAGGGATGTCCCCTGAGTGTTGTTCAGAGAAAGTTAGTTTGCTCTCTGGAAAGTTTTTCCCACTCTTGTAAGAGGGTCAGTCAAAAAAAAACCCCAAAAAAAACATGTGTGTTGGTAAAAACATTATTTTGTGTAAAGCGTTAAAACTCCTTGAACTCATCAGTCTTCCCTCTAGTCAACTTCCCTGATCTTTGCTGAAGAAAGCATCGACGTAATATGATGCTGCCACAACCATGCTTCACACTGGGAATCTAAGAAGGATGATGCGCTTTAGTTTTTTGAAAAGAACACTTATTCCAGATATTGTCTTTGTCCCTTACATTGCTTGTGGGAGGCCGCAGCAGGACTTTCAACAACGGCTCTCCTTGCAAATCCTAGGTGCTACCAGTGCTACTTTTTAATTGTCTGACTAAAATGTCAATAAAATACATTGAACCTCCTGAATATAATGTGACAAGATATGAAAGTTTAAGGGGTCTGGATCCCTTGTATTGCTGTTGCTGTCTCTTAAAGAAATGCATGTATGGACTTTCAATTACCTTCATGTACTATTGTGGATGAATGGTTTCGTGTGTCTGTATCCTAGATTGTAGAACGACTTGACTTAGAATTCAGCCCTAAAGACTTATGACTTGTACTTGTGTTCTAGGACTTGAGTCTCTTAATCTTTCCGTCTCATGTAATCAGAAATGAAGGCAAGTTGCCATTCGCTTAGCCTATTGCGTCATTGCAAGGTTACTTTCAGTTGAGAATATAAACAAAAGCACTTCCTGTTCTCTTTGACCTTCTCTCTCATTTGCCTTTCTCAGCATGCTACACACCAAAACTTCATACTTATCACAGCTATATATTTTATGACACTATCAATGAAAACTATGCAGCCACCAGTTACAGGATGATGCTCTGCTGCATCTCTTCTTTATACCTGGGAGGGATTGAAATTAAAGCATGTTTGTAATGCTCCTTTTCAATTTTGTTCCCCTCAGATTATCACAACCACCACTTCACCTTCTTCATCTCTGGATAGCGTAGATAAGGTAAGTAGGGAAGCTCGCCGTTTCATTATTCATTCTTGTCCTCCACCAAGCAGGAAGCTGTTAAAAGAGATGTCTATTTAAGCCTCTGTTTCTCAGAAGCATTACATAAAACCTTAAGGTTTGAGAAGGAAAATGGGCAAATTAGGATCGATTAGATCCTGATGTGACTTACTTTTGCTTAAATTGCAAAATAGGCTTTTGGGCTTGAATGGTGTGGGCCTTTTTAGTTGTAATTGCAACATTTTTACTCGGTATGGTGCTTCACTTTTGTGCTGTCGCATTCACATCCAAATTTTAAGTTTGCTCTGCTTGTACACCCAGGATGAGGTGACACTGCCCACTCCTCTGGTAGTAACAGGAGAATCGGATGAGGTACAGTTTCTATTTTTAATCTTATCGACATATATTTCACCTGGATGTCTCTTCAATCTTTGCATGCCTTGGAATGCAAAACTTTCTTTCATACAATGATTTGCAAAACTGTTAGTGCTGCTTGAACATTTGACATTTTTACAAACCAATGTGATTTATTTAGAATTTATGTAATGAACCATCGAAAGTAGTGGGTAATTCTGAAGTGAAAGGCAAACTAAAAAAAGTGAAAGGTGCTATTTTTTTGTTGAAAACTTAAGTGCAGCAAAATACATTTAGCAGTTACCTACTTGGTATGTAGAGTTCATTGGTGTGTAATCTAGCATCATGAAGACCAAGGAACACATCAGTATTTGTAATAAATTTTAAAAATTCTGTTTTCTGACACTTCATTATTATGTGCTACTTTGTTGTCATTGCCTCCACATAGAACTAAATAAATATACATTGGTGGTTTGTTTTTTCGAACATGTCAAAATGTGGAAAAACTTGGGTTTTGCTAGATACTAACACCAGAGACATGTGGGATTGCTAAATATTTCACCAGTTTAAACAGTGCGCATATCCATGTATTTAGTAACAATGCACAAATGTTTACCATAGGACAAGATAGTATTTTGAGCAGCATGCATTTAGTGTAATTTGTTTGAGAGCTTGCTTGACTTGGAAATGGCGCAAAACTGTAAAATGTAGAGCTTATAGAAAATTCATATCTTATCATTTTAGTTTAAAAAAATCCTGAGTTCCTTTTAATACTTCTCTCTCTCATTTCTTTAAACAGGAAATCTCTTAATTCCCCAGAGACTACAAACTATAAAACTAGTCACTGGTGAAGATTCCTGAACCTGAGCAACATTTCACAAGCGGGGACTCCTTTCCATACAGAGACAATGATCCAAATCTATGGCCTTAAAAAAGGGTCTATTTTTTGAAAAAGAACATTTTAGTGGAGAAAACTTAATCTATTCAGTTAATCCAGCATAACCTCCCTTTCTTAGCCTTTTTAGACTCCAAATATATTTATTCCAATGGCTTTTAGTAATTTAGTTTTCTCTTTCCCCCGCGCTGACAATTTCAAATATTTTTTTCAGAATTAAAAAAATATATATATTTATTGAAACGGGGAGGGGGGGGGAGAATGTTGCTTCTCTAATTTTCCAAAAGTGTTTAAATAAAAATGACAAAAGTGTGTTTTGAGCAGTTATGTAGATAGATTCAGCACTGTTTCCACTGGTGAAAGTTGTCTGTCATTACTTTGTGTGTCTTTAACATCCATGTGCATGTATTTTTAAGTAAAAATATTTAATACTATGAGCCAGTCTCTGTCTTTTTTTTTTACTTTATTGATTATTGTAGAAATCCACCACACACAAAAACAAAATAAGTCGTGAAAAAAATAGGGCTCCAAATAACATGTATCTTAGGGTATTTACAAATATCTGTTTAACCATACATTATCAAGAAAACTGTCTGGAATTGCAGGAGATTAAGAACAAACAGTAACATGTCCGAAGGCTTCATCTACAAAACACAAAAATCAATTAGATTTCTTTTAGTTAGGCATCTGTTCAGGTTTTATTGAGCCACATTAAAGTTTTCCAGACAGATGCCAAGGCTCCTGGAATCATGTTCTTTGGATAGACGAGCCTAGAATTTAATCATTCGGACGACAGAAGTATGGAGACTCCCTACAACTTTCTAAAAAAAGAATATAAAAGCTGTGAGGCACAGAGTTAAACTTGCCATGCTTTACGGCCTCAATGATTTCAAACATGCATTGTCCTTGAGGGGAAAAAAATACGATGCAGCAGAAGTGGATCCTGGAAGTTGTCGTTAACCCAAAATCATAACGGTAAATCTACCACAGCCTGAGTGACTAATTGGGAAAAGTAAATTTATGCACCAGGTTGAAGATTTCATCCCATTGAGATGCTGTGGGGTGACTGGAAACGTGCAGGAAGCGCCTCAAACTTCTCAGCTGAAACGTGGAACAAACTTAAGTTTTTATTTGCAAAATTTTCTTTTCCAAAGATAACCAAGAAAGAATTGTGAACATTTCTGAATAATGAACCAAGTATGAAATGAAGTGCACCGATTTATTTTTTCACATCACTTCAATATGAAGTTTGCTTATTAAAGGTTTTGGTCACATTACAGGCGCCTCAACTTCAAACCAGAGTGAAAAGAGACGCCTTTTGGCATGATTCAACGGTAAGGTTCAGCTGGTTCTGTACAACGAAATAAAAGATAAATGAAAGTTATTAATAGTTGAACAACAGCAATGGCTTTGATTTGCAGATATTTATGCCTGGTGCTCCAGGTGGAAGAATTCGGACGAAGGAAATGCAAGAAGTAATTTTTTCATCTTGTTCTGCCTTTAAAAAATTCATAGTTTCAAACATGAAAATGCAATTTCCTGGTCACTGTGGAACAAGAATAAGATTCTCCACCTATTTTAATTCCAGAATCCGTCCTCTGGAGCTCAAGGTTACAGCAGCTGGAGGGTAAGTGTGTGATCAGCAAGGCATCACTCAACTGGTTTCTGAATTACTTTTATTTATAAATGCATTGCTTTCTGCTTTTCTAGAGACGAAAGCTCAACAATCTCAAAGCTCAGGCACATGCAAGTAGGGAGAGGCAAGAAACGGGAGAGAAGGGGATATACAGTGATGCAAATACAGAGACGATGTTTGGAGCTGATGATCTGACCGAGGGAGTAACTGTAGCAGAACCAGATGCCGACCCTGATCCGGTCTACGAGGTGGAGGAGGAGAGGAGTGGCGACTACGACTGGGAGACGGAGGAAGATGATGTCGATCGCGAGAGAGAAACCGAAGAGGAGCTGGAGAGGCAGCGAGAGGAGGAGAGGCTGGAAATGGAGAGGGAAAGAGAGGAGCTGGAGAAGGAGAGGGAGGCCGAACGTGAGACGGAGAGAGAGAAGATGGAAGAGGAGAAAGATGTGGAGGGGGAGAGAACAGAACAGGAAGTAGAGAGAGACTATGAGAGGGAGAGGGAGGAGTGGGAACGGCGGAGGGCGGAGATGGAGAGGGAAAGAGGGGGAGGTTACAGTGAAGAAACTGGACAGCCATACCCATATCCTCCACAGTACTTTTTTCTGAAGGTAAGAACCCAAAGGTGACTCACCTAAGTACACTAATATATTCACTCTGCGAATAATAAGAAAAGTTTGTGTACAAGTAGTCATTTGTGGAAACTCGTCCCATTAAACATTATTTTTATCACAAAATGTAACAAAGCACATGGGCCACATACAATGCAACACATAACTGGACTCTTCTTTTTCTGTTTAACCAAGATGCAACAGGTGCTGTTCACACTAATGATTCAAATGAGGCCTGCTTCTCAATCAAAATCAAAAAGTTCACCCAGTAAACATTTATGTAGAAAAAACAGCTGAAGCAAAACATCAGATTGTTTCTAGACCAACAATCTCATTTTTATCTCGGCTATCTAATTTGTTGCTCAACTGGTTAATGTAATTAGTCTAATTAAAAATCATTTCCCCAGTTTCCTGCACAATATATTTAGTCCCAGTAGTGATATTTTAATCGCAGGGCATTGCTTTGAAGGCGATATTAATCATACCAAGGCATAATTTTGAATGTGTTGTGCATGTTTAAAATGAAAAGATTTAGTTAATAATTTACATTATTAATATTTCTGTGACAGGGGCAGCCAGGCGAGAATGGAAAACCGGGACCAAAGGTGACTACTGGTTTATTTTAAGATTAAAACAACATTAAGGATAACCTATAACGCAAAACATAATGTATAAATGCTTATAAGTGTCCAAGTCTTACAGGTTTAAAAGTGAAGCAGATTTATTTCTGTTGACTTAATTGGCCTTTTCCACTCAACAAAGCAGCAAAGTTTTAAACTATATGCATAACTTTGACCCTGTGCACATTTTGTTGTATTTTTCTGGAAGAACATTTTAAAATCATAATTTGAGGCCAGAAATTATGACTCTAGGTATTCAGTCATCTGAAGATCAGTGAACCTAAAACATTATGAAAATACATTTTCTAGAAAACGTCCTTTCGATTTAGCTCGTGGTTCTGTTTTGTCTTTTTGCCTGATCGTTGTGAACGACCGTTAATGTGAGACAGAGTTCAGCTGCATCCTGCAGAAAACTGCTTCCTGTCCCCAGAAGCGTCTTTTCTATTTTCTGATTACTAACCGCACTGATGTTGCGTTGATTGACATTATGTAAAAGAAAAATGACAGTTCATCAGGTGGCAGTTGGGGGATATTTTAATCAAGACCAATTTAAAGAGCCATCACTGCCCTCCCTGCACCCACAGAGATGGTCTAATTTAGCAATGCATTGTCTTTTCAGGGTTAATGGCTTTGACATTATGTGTTACACATACAAATACGTTATCAAGGCTCTCTATTTTTACATTTCTATGTTTGCAATTAAACCTAGTTAATTTGAATCATGTTTAAAAGAGAGTCAATTTCTCTAGGATTTTATGTGATGGACCAACACCAAGTATTATATAAGTGGAAGAGTAAATAAAATGTTGAAGTTCTACTTACTCGCCCCCATTCCGTTCAATCTGCAGTATGTTTTGTTGGTCTTTCCCATAAAATAAATACAGTCAGGTTTGTGGATAAAATAAAACTTCAAGGAGGGGGGAAGTGAATAGTTTTTCAGTTGAGTCATTGTTGTTATCGCACTGAAATCAGCATTGTCATCATCATGGGAGCGCAAAGCAAGGTCAACATTTGCTGAATGAAATGTGCCACCAGTTCATAAAAATATCATGGCTTGCCCCGCTGCCGATCCACACGGCATCAGTAAATGACATCAGAGCTCGGGGAGAGCGTCTCTCCCGTCTCGCCTGTCAGTAACGCCATTCGAATCCGGGCCTTTGATGTCTCCTCTGCTCTATTTCTGTACGACTCTGAGAGAGATTAAAGCAGGCATTAATAATTCCCCTTGTTAAACATGCTGACAACCCTTGTTTTTTTTTTTTGTTTTTTTTTATGTGAAATTCCTCTGCGTTTGCTTATTTGGCTACTGTAAAAAAGTTACCCTCAATTTATTTCCCTAACTATGATGTTCTAATGTTTTTTTGTTTTGTTTTTTTAGGGGGAAATTGGTGAAAAAGGACAAAAGGTAAAGTTGTTAAAAATTGTAACCCACTATGTTTAGATGATGCATATTCAGCTGACTTTTTTTTTTTTTTTTTTTTT